AACTTTGCGTTACAATGACGCCAGGAGGCACGAGACGCGACATAAGTTGCGTCAACACAACGTCCTCTACTTCCACACATGTGTATTTCAAAGAATATGTTTCGCTACGATTATTACTGGGCCATGAAGTGGAGTTCAGCTGCAGCAGTTGAGCGCTACCGGGACGTAAATCAATGGTGCGCAATGTACACACCTCCGTGAGAGGGACATAACCCCACATCAGCACACGCCGTTCCTCAGGCAGGGCGTTGTGCCGCTCATCGCGGGCCACAACCTCCACAACCAGCAGCATATTCTCTCCACGATTTTGGAAAATGAGTGGCTCCGTCGGGGCGTCCTTTAACACGGTGTAGGTGGCCCCAACGAAGGCGCATGCCACTCGGTCGTAAAACGTCATGTGAAGTGCAATCGCGTACTGAAGCTCAGGGACCATCGGCCACTCCTCCCACACAAACCGCGCCGTGAACAGTCGGCCCCCCACGGCGTCGCTCGACGCCTTGCACTCCCACGTGTCGTGCCGGATGGCGCTTGACAGGAGCACGCGGGCCGTTTGTTCCGCAGAGCGACTGCGGCCCATTCCGCACCTTTTTTTTCTTTTGTGTGTATGTGTATATATATGTGTGGGGGGTGTACGCTTCCCTCGTGCTTATAACGCAGCCGGTAGACCGCACTGTGGGCGGGAGAAAGTGAATTGACAGACAGATGGAGAAGAAACAGGCAGCCAAAAAAAAAAAGAAGAGACACTCACAAAAAATTTATGAAATTTTTTGTTTCCTTTTTTTTTTTTTTAATTATTTCAACGGCTAAACAAAATCAAAATTAATAAAAAATAAAAAATAAAAAATAATAAAAAAAAGGGTCCAGAAACTGAAACAAACAAATAAATAAAAATAAAATAAAATAAAACAACAACACAAAATAATTTCTCCAGAGATGCCCCAGCGGTATTATGCGCATCTACAGACACAAAAGAAAATGCTTGTGGCGTGTGTGTATTATTTGTGTGTGGAGTGGGGGAGGGTCAAATAAATCGTTGTGGCCATCTTCATTCCTTTCCTTTTCAAATATCCTCCACTCCTCCCCAACACAGTCACCCTCCCTCCCTTGCAATGGAGCTTCCGCCTCATTTATACAAGAGCACTCGGCTGATGCTTCCACGGCTTCCCATTTACATTGGCAATTGTCTCGAGAACCTTCACATGTGTGC